CACAGGCCTTCCTCTTTCAGAGGACTATGTACCATGTCCTTTGTGTTTTAGGTTTTGTTCTTTTTGACTCCTCAAATGACTTTGATACATAAAACTATTCTTTCCCTGTCTTTTTAAATACGTTTTCATATTCTGCACTGGATGACTGCTTGCTCTTTCCTTATTTTCTGGATCCTTGACTTAAAAAAAGATTTATAAATCTCTGTACACCTCTACACCAGTTAAATTTTCCCATTGCTATGGCTGTTCTGGCTAAATAGATTGGTCAGTTTTGCTAGTTAAATTCTATTTTGCTAATACATTAGTTTTTCTCCCACTTCTAAGTTATTGGGTAGTACTTACTCCAATGATGGTTGTTCTTGATGGATTCCATGTTCTTTAGAACAGAACAAAGCCCTTGAAAAAAAATCACCATGAAGTTATTAGTTATTGATAATTTATTTTGAACCTAGAATTTTAAACCAATAGCACAACATTTTTAAGTTAAAAGAATTAGCATAGATTTGATTAAAAGAAATTAATTCTAAAGAAAAAATTCTTCCAATTTTATGCATTGGATCTTATTTACTCTTCCAGCTTCTCACTTTAGGGAGACAATATGATGTTTACATATACATGTTTACAATACATGTAGGGAAAAGCAATTATATATATATATATACATATATATAACAGTTAAGATAATTATACTACTAATTTTTCTCAGTTCATTAAAAAGAAAGGATTGTGCTAATGTTGTTGGAAAATTAAATGGCCATATCTTGTACTCTGAGTAACTAATTTAAAGATAACAGTACACAATGTATTAACTATTGTTACCCTCCTATTATCTTGTTTTGAAATTTTGGGTTTTTCTTTCTCTTTAAAATAAAAACAAATAAAATTTAAAAATAAAAGCAATTAAACAATGTTAAACAATTAGTATATTCTAGGTGTTTTCTGGTCAACCTTTAAGAACATGAAAAGTATCCACATCTAGTTCTACCTGTGTGGAAGAGGATGCTAACCAACCAAAGAGGGAAGGCGGGGGCTGGTTGGAAGTCTCCTATGTGTTGGGGACCTGTGCTCTTTGTCCCATTTTGGGGGGTGCGGGTCATCACAAGTGGCAAATGCTCTTTAAAAGAGAGGAGGAGTATGGGAAAGAGTTGGGAAAAATGAGGCCAGCAGTGCAGAGACCTGGTCATTAGTCCAAGCAGATAGTTTCTTCCAGATAATGGACTAAAATAGAAGGGATGTTGGGGGAGAGAGAACAGCCAGAAAGAAACAAGGTTGTAAAAGTTTTATCTAGAAAATGTTAGCCCTCCCTGACTAATCTTAAGACAAGTTTTGAAAAAAATAGTCTAAATAAGCTACTTTGCAATTCATGAGCTCTTTTCCACTTTGTAGCAAGACTGTGAGCTACACACACACGCTCAGTTTTGATGTTCTCACCCAGGCTTCCCGGCTGCTCTTACATTATGGGAAAAGAGGATGGTTGAGAAGGGGCCCGGGCTCCAAGGCCTGACCTCTTCTCCTCTTGCTCTTCCTCCTGCCTCCACGCCACCTCTCTCTTCTCCTTCTTTTACAGTGAACCTTCAGTATCGCTTTCCCTGAGGTCCTGCAGGGTCTGACATCCAGCCACAAACAGATTCCCTTTGTATTCTTCATGTTATTCCATTTTTCTTTCTCCCACATTTCTCTAAACTAAATCTCCATAAGAAGCTCATTAGAAACATGATGTCATTACTCTTCATTCTTTGAGCTTGTGAATCATATGTAGGAAAGAAATGTATTCGATGCCTTTTGACTGGCACTGGTAAGAATGTACAAGGAGGGAAATACCAGCAATCAATAAATATTTAATTCATTTCAACACAAAGTGGGCAGGCATTTTTAAGCTTCACAGAAAAATAAATTAAAGACATCAATCTCCAGAAAAATTATTTGTATAACAACCTCCCAAAGTTTTTGTTTTTCTCATCAAATGAAGAAATGGAAAAAAAAGTAGAAATGCCAAATCAAACACAACCCTAGTGTTAAATGTATTTTGGAACTTGTGGAATTAAATTTGCATTTTTAAATAAATCCAAATGCCCTTTTACAAAAGTAACTCATTTTTCCGTAATTTTTTTCCTATAATGACAACCAGT